GATTCAAGTAGGAAGGGAGCGTCTCAGCTTTCTCGGACCAAGACCATTCGACTCAACACCCCGAAGACTACAACTGGTGAAATTTTAATTTTTGCCTTAACTTCCCCTTTAACAAGAGGCAGGGTGAGCGCGTTACGGGTTGAGCTTGTCGAAAACCAGTTGTACTTCATCATGTGTGAAGGAATTTTATGAAGAAATATTTTATGAACCAGTGTACAGAGATGGTGCTTATGACGAACGGAGAGAGGAGAAGTGTGTGCAAGTCGATAAAGGGCATCCGAAGGAAAACATCGATCCTTGTTGTAAAGAATTTTAAGTATAAATCTATGGTGGACTTCTAATTGGCTCAGAGTTGTGTCAGAAAGGCCACACCAAGCGGTATCGCAATAGTCGAATATAGGGAGAATATAGCACTGATAAAATAATAGCTTACACTGGATGGACAAATGAGTGCAATGTGGTTGTAGTACCCCTAAGGCTGAACTGGTTCGCTTGCATACACAGTTGACATGTGCAGCCCAAGAGAGTTTGCAGTCAAACATCACACCTAGATGTTTGTGCTGAGTAACAACACGGATAGGCATAGTCGAGTCAGGGAAGAATAATGGTTGATCAGGAGGGGATGAAGAAATATACATGGCTTCTGTCTTGTCTAAATTGGGCTGGAGTTTCCACGCTTGCATCCACATGACAGTGCTGTTGATGCGATGCTGCATGGTAAGGAGTAATTGTACAGGGCAGGAATCAGAACAGATAAGGCCAGTGTCATCCGCATACAAACTAACATCGGGGACAACTGAAGGTAGGTCATTAACGTAAAGCAAGAATAACAAAGGACCCAGAATGGAACCTTGGGGCATTCCAAACGTTACAGGGAGGGGATCAGACAAGAAATAGAACAAGCGAACAGCCTGAGAACGAGCAGACAGATATGAGGATATCCCACGCAAGGCAGCATCCTCCACCCGGAAGGTGACCTTCAACTTGGCAAGTAAGCCACAATGCCAAACGGTGTCGAATGCCTTAGCCAAGTCGAAAAACACCATTCCCATGTGCTCCCCACAGTTCCTCTTTGTCGCTATGTCTTGGACAAGTCGAGTCACCTGGTATTGAGTTGAGTCACCACGGCAGAATCCCGACTGAGCTGGTGAGAGAGCCGGAGCGATGTGCAGGTAGAGGGAATCGAATACAATACGCTCACAAAGTTTGGAAACTGTGCGCAGCAGAGAGATGGGGCGGTAAGCATAGTAAGATGGGATTCTGAGATTGAGTAGAGGGGGAGCCAAGTTCAAGCCACACAGACTCGCAGCCAGGGCGTTGAAGGTCGGCACGAGGGGAGACGTACGGAAAGGAGTGCGAACGGACAAGTACGGCAACACCCCCATACCCACGGCTACAATGTGCTGACCGATTGTCTTCCGGAGGTCGATCTCTGCGGATGCAGATATAGCCTGACAGTGAGAGCGGGTTCGAGGGACAGAGCCACGTCTCTGTTAGGCAGATTATGTCAGGCTTAGCACATTCGGCAATAACGCAGAGCTCAGACAACTTGTTGACAACAGAGCGACAATTCAGAGATACTAGGGTTAAATCACGCTGGGATTTAGGGAAAAAAGGGAACGCTGATGGATTTAGCGCTGGACATGCAATGTGTGCGGGTCGGCCAGAGGAGGGCTGAGCGGGGTAGAGCGGGTGGGCTAGTTTCGATCGTGGGGTGAATACAGGGGCGTTGGGATTTAGTCGTTGTTGCTGCATCGTTGTGTATGTTGGTTTGTTAGCATGACAGTTCAGGATTGATCATCACTGCCTCGCCGCGAAGTAGAAGACGACTTGTTACCTTGGGCATCAGCAAAGCGCCACTTTCGCACTGTGTGCTGGATGGTGGCCGGCCAGAATTTGGAGTCGAGAACTTTGTCCTCGTCCGATGCTGCCACGGTTACGCGAGCATGGCAAGTACCCAGGTACGTGTTTTCTGAAATCGAACAGTTCAGTACGTCAACTTGGCGGGCCTTGCACCACGCTGTTATTGACTCTGCCCTGCAACCCGGACTGACATTTCCAACGTACAGAACAAGCTTCTTTGTACGTTCAGGCCCTGTTAGCACACGCGGGTCGGCTGCCCTGGGCTGTGGTTTCACGTAGCGTGACGTAACCCTACGGCGTGTGACTTCCGACCACTCTGCACCTGCAGCACTCGACCCTGGGTTGGATTGCTCAGGTGGGTGTGGTCTGGTGCCATGCATTGACAAAACAGGCTGCGACAAATGGCTGGAGGTGGTGTGAGCGGGGGTCATATGGTGAGTACTAGAACCCGTACTACCCTGTGTGTACTGCATAGGACCAGAGGAAATATGGGTGCGTGCACGTGGGGGATTCAAGTCTCCTACGGCGGTGCTGTACAACTTCCCGCCGGACATTGCCAAATTTTGCTGTGCTTCCTGTACGAGAGGGTGTACACAGATTTCCGGTTGTTGGAGCCCCTGAACTTCCCGCCTGAGTTGTTGCACTTCTAATTCCAGACTCAGGATTTTGTCGGCCCTATCTTGTCTCAAGGAGACAATTTCCTGTGACATGCAGCTAATTGAGTCAGTAAGGCTTACAATTGCAAGTTGGAGCTCCGATGTGGGTAGCGAACTCTGCGCCAACACGCCCACTCCACGCTTCCTCAGCTCGCTCACCATATCCGGCCGGGAGAGGCTCGAGGCTTTATCCACATACATTTGCTCGCCGATCTTGATGAGCTCTCTATAGCCAACCAAAGCCAGGTCCATGCCTTCGTTTGTCGCCATTGGTACTGTTGGTCTCTTCTATTAGTTCTAAGCAATAATGGGGAGGGGTAGTTCTGTAGAGAGACGCACCTCGAGGCTAATCCTCGGAGCACAAAATGTCAAACCGCACCCTACTTTTACTTCGCTTCTTCCGTTTGAATCAGTTTCCGCTGGGAGTATGCAGTTGCCAGGGGTATGGTTCATGTTCTCAGGTAAAATTGACTTCAAAACTGCCATGTTTCGGAGCTACCCTTTCACTAATGCAGATTTGTTGGTATTATGAAGGCATAGTTTGTGGAAACAGAGTAATGTTTGCACAGAATTATGACTCTATTTGCTAGCGATTATAATCTTGCATGCTCTCTCTCATGCAGCACACGATAGAGTTGGATTCAGAGACATCATTCACAATTCTCTCGCTGATTAACCCTTTGCGTGCTGAGTACGAGTTAACTCGCACTTTATGCATGACCTGATCCACTACGTACGAGTTAACTCGCAACAATTTCGCGCGATACATCGCAGTGCATAGACCAGTAGTGTACAAACTTTCGTAACTTCGTCAAACATAAACGCATCGCGACAAACAATACACCATTGGAAAGGTCTTGATCTCATGTTTCCGGGGATATACAGTTCTTCGCGATAGGATAAGAATTCAGTTCTTCGCGATAGGATAAGAATTCATTGAGCGGCGGCGCGATGAACACGAAAATCACGGCCCAGAGTGAACGCGAATTTTTTTGTTCATGACTTCTTTTGGTTGAGGAGCGTGCCAGGGGATTTCCCTTTAGCGGCGCATGCGTGATGGACATCAAATGAAGCGCTTGGATCTGAGCTTTGCAGCGCAGTATGAATTGTGAAAATCTGTTGAATTTGGGCAAGAAGCCGAACAAGAATGTGAAATTGAGTTGTTGTGCCGTTCCGAGGCACGATGGAGTAGTTTGGAGAGGACGTGGAAGCGACCCTGATGTGTCTATCGAGCTGAGAGCTGCCAGGATGGATTCGCTTGGTCGTGATCTTTCCAACGAGCCCAGGACGATGAAAATCCATCAAGGTGGAGTGAAATGAGAATACATTTCGTTCGCAGCTGTGAGTGCATACTCCACCAAGAGAGTCATTGCGCTGGAAAGCCAGTGGATTGCAGAAAAGGGGCTCAGCATGCAAAGGGTTAATGCCTCTACGATCATCTTGTGATTGTGAGTTATACATACGTACATACATACATACATAATCGATTACTCGATCGTTAAGCTAAAGAGTAATCAATACGTGAAAATCCACGATCGTTTCAGCCCTAATTTTGATGGATACGAAAACGCTTGGAACAGGTCAAGAACCAGGCCCGTCGGAAGGCGGGCGAAGTTGATCCGGTTTGAGTGGGTCCGGGGATCTCCCCAGGGGCATTTTTTGAAAAATCGGGTCGGATTTAGCAGAATTTGGCCCTTTCACCAGGTTTCAGAGCCCACTACAGGGAATAATTTTGCATGGATATCGATGTACAATGTTTGTCCTACTATGGGAGTATGGGTGCATGTACAGATGTACAGAATGCCAGCCAGAGGTGCTAGAGGGTTTTTACATTGCCAAGTTACAGCAGTAGGGGACGAAACGTACGTCGCAATCGAGCTATGTCGTGGCTGTGTCATCATCTATGTGCCATGCGCTACTTGATGTACCAGCCTGCTATGCCGGATACCGCCAGCCATACATCGACCAGGCGCCAGGCGCGAACTGATGGTGGTGATGGTGAGAAGGGGAGCTCTGTGCCAGAACTTTGCAGCCTAAAGAGCGTGTGTGGGCAGGCGTGTGTGTACAGCCATATTGCCAGGTGTGTCTTTACCACCATATTTATCAACCATAAGTTACAGCCTGCTCTTTGTAGACAGAAGGGGCTTTTGAAAAAGATAGTGCTTTTCCGAATTTCCTCCCCCTCCTTCCCTGCTATAATTATTGTGCTCTTTGGAGCAACTCACTCCATCATTTAGACTGTGTACGTTTCAACACCATTCTACTGCCAATATGCTGTGTAAATTGACATTGTTGTGGTTCGTCTCATTTTCAACCTTAACCGATTTGAGAAATGATTGTACAAAAGGACTCATCAGATTTACAACTCCCTTCGTCTCTTCGTATGCTAATACGTTTCCCTTTGTTTAAGTCTCGAGTTCATTTCTGTCTCCATGGCAACTGACCTATGGGTACACTTCCGTTTTTTTGGTTTCGTTGCAGGTGAACATCACTATGTTTGTAACAGAGGAGTGCTTTTTATGCACACGAAGGACTCAGTGGATTACCAAACTGCCGAGAATTTTTGTAAAGTCAGAGGCGCCAGTATACCTAACGCCGACGAACATTGGAGTTGCATGCTCGAACTTTCCAAACAATTACAGAGCACCTATCCTGACAGCAAACTATTATTCTGGGCTACTAAACCTGGTGACTCACCGTATAGCTATAATGGACATTCCTCGACTCGTAGAGACAAAGAACATGTAGCCTGCTTTGACAAGAGGAGTAAGTCGATTAAATATAGCCTGCACGTGTAGCGGGCCGCAGTCTCTGGGAGGCAAGAATACACAAGGGTCTCAGGGAACACACTGTAACTGGCAATTGAAATGTAACTATAACTGGCAATGAAATTAACTGGCTCAAAAGAATCGTGAACAGCAGCTTTAATGCACTGGCAGACTCCGTATGCTAATGTACGGGGATACGCTAACGTATGGGATACAGTACGGGGATATGCTATACTCTAAACACTATACGCTATACACTTTGAAGTCACCAGTGTGCCAACGCTACACCTCCCCTTTCAAATACAATCACGTCCTCGTGATCCGAATACTACTTGTAGGTGATAGCTGGACATCAACAACTGACTGTTATTTAGAAGAAACTGGCGGCATGCATGGTCGCGTCGGAATAAACTCGACGATAAGAGATAGGCAGAACGGATGACTTGCGTAATATAATACAGGTATGGAGTCGTGAACATTATAGTAGATCGCGAATTACTGGGAGAGCGTCAACCGGAGTATGGCAAATAATATCGGAAATGATAACGTTTGGAATAGACAGAAGAAATGAACTGATAAACAAATCATAAAGTAGAAGCACACCAGGTTCACACGATCTCACGGGGTCAAAAGGGGAAAGAACTGTCCTCCAAATAGGACCTGAAAAACAACAGCACTCTTGCTGCACAACGCTGGCACAACCCGCCAGGAACATCGCAGTTCAAAAACCGAACTGAATACACTATAACTATAAGGGGCGTTGTCACACACATTGTCCCACGTCAGCTGGGTAAACCGTGGCTCACCATGATCAGACGCCTACCAAACTAAACTGGATTCACACACTCGCATAACGGAAGACTGAAGAGAACAGGGAGACTGAAGGAAGACAGGAAAGAAAATGCCATACCTGGAATCAGCGTTAGTAACCACGGCGGCGGCTGGAGCTATGGCGGAGGGCGAACCAGGTTTTATCTTCATCTTGGTAGAACCGGTCACTCAGAGCGGCTACCTCGCCGTCAGACAAATAACCTCCCTCCTCGTCTTGAATCGTGGTCTTCACATTGTCGATAGCAGCGCTTTGCGCGACGTAAAGAGTGATGGTCTAGCCAGGAAGAGTGTTGACGAAAATCTGCATCCCACCACGGAGACGAAGTACCAAGTGAATAGTGGACTCCTGCTGAACGTTGTAGTCACTCAGGGTTCGGCCATCTGGCAACTGCGTGCCGGCGAAAATCAAACGCTGCTGGTCTTGGGGAATACCCTCCTTGTCTTGGTCAGCAGCCTGCATGTCGTCGTCCTCATCAGCTTCGCCATCACCACCGGTAGTATACATGTAGGTAGCTGGTCGCTTGGAATCGCCATTGGAGTCTCCAGTGAGTGCCGTGCGGAGAGAAGGGTGATCCACGCTAGCACCCTGACTGTGCTGCAGGCTAATAAGCAGGGCCAAGCCCAGGAAGGCAAGAAACATGATTCTCATCTTGATTCGTCGCACGGAGCTGTAGAGGGTTGAGCCATGGGGGTCCGAGAAACGTGTAAAGTAACACAGTTAGGTATAGAATGAAACAAAATGAATTTACCGCTGCCACCAATTTGTAGCGGGCCGCAGTCTCTCGGAGGCAAGAATACACAAGGGTCTCAGTGAACACACTGTAACTGGCAATTGAAATGTAACTATAACTGGTAATGAAATTAACTGGCTCAAAAGAATCGTGAACAGCAGCTTTAATGCACAGGCAGACTCCGTATGCTAATGTACGGGGATACGCTAACGTATGGGATACAGTACGGGGATATGCTATACTCTAAACACTACTCTAAACACTAAACGCTATACACTTTGAAGTCACCAGCGTGCCAACGCTACACACGTATTATTTGAGTGTCTTTGTGCTGTGCTGATGGGTCCTCAAGGGACGAAACAATGTCTGCAGATGTAAGAGTAATTGAGCAAAGTCAGCTACTTTTATCCTTGAGTGAACCTTGGTCACCGACTATGATTGTTTAATCCAGAGGTCCTTGTCACCTACCCTTATAACGAATGCCCCCTATAACAATATTACCCTTATAACGATATTTTTCTGCCAAAAAAATCACTGCATTGACTTTGATACACGATGCCTTACCCTTGTCACAATAATTATTGTTATAACGATATTGCCCTTGGAATGATATAAAATGGGCTGACCACTCATATTTCTTCCATTCTATAACAATATCCAAGAAAGGGTTTCCTCCCCACACTGGAGTTGGCGGTATTCCGCCAACTTGACACTTGACTCGGTGAAATAGCGTGAGCTCCAGTGTGGAGAGCAACCCTTTCTTACAGATCATCGCCGAAGTCGCAACCACAATTTCATAACAATATCTAGCAGGGAATATGTAGAGTCCACTACCCAGGTAGGGCAAGCTTCACTTGAAAAGTCACTGCGGCATGACGAAATGCAATGGGGGCACCAGTAAATGCCTTGCTGTGTACATAATGTGCATAGAACATGCAATCATTTGCCTTAGGTGTCATGTTCTAAAGAATGTAAAAACAAAAATCATGAATTATGACGTTCATGTATGAAATGTACCAGTAACCGTGTAACAATAAATTATTACTCTTTTAACGATATTTCCTGGTCTGACGCAAGTATCGTTAGAAGGGTAGGTCAACTGCAATAACAATAATAATAATAAAATGGCAATAAATAAGATAAATTGTGCACTCATAATAACAGCAAAAATGAAGAAAGTCAAGTTCCATAACGTTTTCTTGTGACTGTCATCAGTGGAACGCCGTCACATAAAAATGTAATAACTAAAACACACACTTATATACATGTAGCTAATATGGTTTCAGGTAGAAATACAGCAGCTAACAAGTACAAAAAGCGAAGTTTGCACCTTTACATTTATTCACACAGTATAACATTCATCTGCCACTACCTTTTTCACATACAATATATTCACACATTGCAAAGGTGCAAACTTCGCTTTTTGTACTTGTTAGCTGCTGTATTTCTAAAACGTTGTATCACTCACACTCTTCAAGTAATACACACGCACCATTACATTTATTCACACAGTATAACATTCATCTGCCACTACCTTTTTCACATACACTGTATTCACACATTGCAATGGTGCGTGTGTATTACTTGAAGAGCGCGAGTGATACAACGTTTTCTTTCTGTTTATATAGCACAGGGTCACGAGTACGAATATACACAGCTTCCAACACCTGCAATTGCTTGAAGAAACGTGCGCAACGAATAACACTAAACCAGGAATCGTCAAACACCTTACGACATTCTGGACTGGACACCTAATGCTTGTCCGCAGTGTACATTTCGTTCTTATAAAAGCATGGATGACCGCGACTGGTCCATATGTTGTAGTCTTGTGGCCGCTGAGTCGACTGGTTTTAGTCCGAAAAAGCTGCGATGCAGCGTTCGGCCCTTATTCCCAATCGAACATGGTTGGGTGAGCGGTCACGATGGCATAGCCAGCAATCGCATGTCATCTCGTACATTGAAAATCAACATAATTTTGCGAATCGACCTTTTTTTCAGGATCACTTTTCAACGAGGACGAAGCAAAGTCGGCCGAACGAAGCCAAGAGGAAGAAAATCACCCTCTCCACTTCACCATCACGATACTGACATAGATACGAGATGAAACAACTAAAAAATTCACAAGAAAACTGTACGACCATCATCGCGCTGACTTTGGTCTGACTTTGGTCTGAGAATTTCTATCACGATCAAAAATGTACGAGGAGCACTCAAAAATCAGCCACAGACGTACCTTTATCGCTCTCTACTCCTTTTTCAAGGCACAAAAGTCGACTCTCCACTTTCAAACCAGGAACCAGACATACCAGTGGTCCTTTTCAGCTGCTCCACGAGCGCAGGAAATGTTCACCAAGGGGCGCAGAGCAGCATCCATTCCAGAAAAATAGCTAAAATACGAGTGAGACTGCATGCCTGAGTACATGAGTACATGTATGAGTACATGCAGAAAATAGTAAATTTCAGCGTTTCTGCTCCAAACAGCAACCAGCTTCGACTAGAAACAAAGATTACACCAAAGGATCAAACAACAACGATTTTCTGCAGTTTTTTTGCAGTTGGCTTCCTTGTGCTTGGCCCAGCACGCCAAAAATCACACCTCGGAGGAGTACAAAAATTACAACTCTCAGATGTCCTTGATTGCTGGCCATGTTTAAACAAGTCACTATGGACTCAACATGGACCCCACGACTATGCAGGTTCACTGTACAGTGTTCACCGAGCGTTGTACTAGTACTAGTACGACGGGCGTGGGGCACGCAACTCGTGTGCATCATACTAGTACGACGGGCGTGGGGCACGCAACTCGTGTGCATCATACTAGTACGACGGGCGTGGGGCACGCAACTCGTGTGCATCATACTAGTACGACGGGCGTGGGGCACGCAACTCGTGTGCATCATACTAGTACGACGGGCGTGGGGCACACAACTCGTGTGCATCATACTAGTACGACGAGCGTGGGGCACGCACCTCGTGTGCATCATACTAGTACGACGAGCGTGGGGCACGCACCTCGTGTGCATCATACTAGTACGACGGGCGTGGGGCACGCACCTCGTGTGCATCATACTAGTACGACGAGCGTGGGGCACGCACCTCGTGTGCATCATACTAGTACGACGGGCGTGGGGCATGCACCTCGTGTGCATCATACTAGTACGACGGGCGTGGGGCACGCAACTCGTGTGCATCATACTAGTACGACGGGCGTGGGGCACGCAACTCGTGTGCATCATACTAGTACGACGGGCGTGGGGCACGCAACTCGTGTGCATCATACTAGTACGACGGGCGTGGGGCACGCAACTCGTGTGCATCATACTAGTACGACGGGCGTGGGGCACGCAACTCGTGTGCATCATACTAGTACGACGGGCGTGGGGCACGCAACTCGTGTGCATCATACTAGTACGACGGGCGTGGGGCACGCAACTCGTGTGCATCATACTAGTACGACGGGCGTGGGGCACGCACCTCGTGTGCATCATACTAGTACGACGGGCGTGGGGCACGCAACTCGTGTGCATCATACTACAGGTAGACTCCCTCTAATTCGAATACGGTATAATTCGAACATTCCGTGTAATTCGAACTTTTTCGTCGTACCGATCTTCTGCAAGTCACTTCAAGTCAAAATCGAATGCATAATTCGAAGTACGAAAAGTGCGCCGGTTGGATAATTCGAACCCAGTCTTCGTACAGAAGAGCTGTTTACAGTACATTGGCTATGTCCTTTGAACGCTTATTTCGAAGTGAGATTGAGTTGCTATCCTTGTAATTCGAAGTTCATTCTTTTCTCCTTCTCTAGCCAAGAGTAGCTCAAAAATCGATCGATGGTCCGCTGCAGGATCGACTATAGCGCTCAAGAAACCCACCTTCTCTCGAAATTTCTTTCAAGCTCGTGCGAGGCAAATTGCAAAGGTTTGATTGAAGACGATGTCTTCCAGGTGGCTGACTCTCTTCGCGGATCTCGATGGCCTTTCTTGCCGCGCCAGCTTGTGCGCGGAGATGTTGGCGCACAAAAACACTATTGTCGTAAATATTGTCTATGCCTATGCTCCACTTCCGTTCTCCAGAACGACGTGCTGCTGTCCGACGGCCTTTCATGACGCGGATTAGGCAGCGCAGTTCTTTTCCGTTGAAATTGTTTCAGGAAAGCTGCAGTGACTGACAACTTCTCCACTAGAAAATGAAGATGTCAAAATGATTTTGTTTCGATCCAGTGGTTTGATGATCCGTTGTACACGACCGGTACGACCACCTTGCAACTATGTTTCGTTGATGCAAATAAAAATGTGCAAAAAATATTCAGCATGCGATTTCAAGCATTTTGACATACATATCAGTGCATGGGGCTGCATTTGGATAATTAGAAGTTCTGGATAATTCGAAGTTAGGGCCTGGCAATTTGAGGTTCGAATTAAAGGGAGTCTACCTGTAGTACGACGGGCGTGGGGCACGCAACTCGTGTGCATCATACTAGTACGACGGGCGTGGGGCACGCAACTCGTGTGCATCATACTAGTACGACGGGCGTGGGGCACGCAACTCGTGTGCATCATACTAGTACGACGGGCGTGGGGCACGCAACTCGTGTGCATCATACTAGTACGACGGGCGTGGGGCACGCAACTCGTGTGCATCATACTAGTACGACGGGCGTGGGGCACGCAACTCGTGTGCATCATACTAGTACGAGGTTAAAAAGTGTAGTGCGTGTTCTTTCTGTTGTTGACCTACCATCATATGTATTATCCATATGATCCATGGCCTCACCTTTGGCTGCTGGATGCTAGCCCAGTGCTAGCCTATCTCCGGCTTCGGCCGAGTGCTGATGGATATTAATAAGTAACAGAAAAAGCGTAATGAGAACAGATGGCGAAAGAGGCAGCTTGCTAAGCTGACCAGGCTGTGCAAAGATTATGGTTGACTCGGCGAATGGAGTCGGCAACGATTGCCAAATGAGAGGGTAAAGGACAAGCTAGCCACTAGACACGAGATCCTGAAATGGGGACTTAATGTCGTACTGGAAGAGGTTAAGCAGCAAATTCATGCTGCATCCGCTGGGATCAAGCGCTCCGATGAATGATCCCGGAAGTTTCGACAGAATGGAACCTTTGAGAGAGACCAGAGACAAATCTACTGTGAACTTCAGTGGGTAGGTAGAACTTCATGATGGTCTGCACATGGCTTCGTGGCGAGCGGTTGAGCGTTTCTGGGCTCTGATATTGGAGGATTTTCTTGGAGGAATTTCTTCGAGTTTTCGACTTTTCCAGTGCACTAGGGCATACTGCGCCTACGAACGGAGTTGTTCGGGGAGTTTACTCTTCCATAGCATGAAGGACTTGCTGGAGGTCTTGGAATCTCGTTGTTTTCCTCGATATTTCTTTTTACGGAATCACTTTCCCTCTCGAAGCACCATGGAGTTGTGACTCTGCATTCGGATTCAGCCCGTACCGTGTAATGGTCACAGGTGCCACGGCGGTGTCCAGGCCGTACACGCGTGATGGAAGACGATGTCGATATCCAATCTGTATGGGCGCAGGAAGCGTCAAGACGTGAAGTAGACGCGCTGCGCAGCCGTGTACGCCAGCGGGAGCGAGCGAAGGGCCACAGCGGACAGGTGGGGTGCTGTCGCTGCGCTGCAAACGGTGACCTGTGCAGAGACTGTAGATGCTGCGGCCTAAATTTTGGTTTGAAATTTGCACCCTCCTGCGGAGCCCACGCTGCTTTGGCAGTGGCGGAGGCTCGCTTGCCGACGTAACCGTCGGAGATCATCATGAACAATGGACTGACTAATTATTCACTTGTCCTGTCTTTATAAATAACATGTTATTGCATATGTTCTTGGTTTAGTTTTTGGCCTTTTTCGTGCTTTGGAGTTGATAACATTTTCCTCACTATCGAAAAAAAAAAAAAAAAAAAACTTCAAGGGGACAGCACTACAACCGCCAAACCATCATATGGTACCTCACTTGACTCACAAGATGCTGTAGCCTTCTGGCAAGGCATTATGGTCCTCACCCGTGACCTATGTATGATCAACAAGCAGAGTGGGTATCCACTGTGGAAAGTAACCTCCGAGAAGTTTAAGGACAAGATGAGGTGTGCATTTTCATCATGGGTGTGCAAGAGTTTTAGCTGGCATGCCGTACTGGAAGGCGCCAGGCCCAGATGGTGTTCAGTGGTACTGGGTGAAGAAGTTTACTTCTTTGCATATTGCAATGGCCCGAATGCTTAACGCATGCCTGCAGGATGCTGAAGTGCCAGCTTGGATGAATCATGGTGCCACAGTTCTGATCATGAAAGACCCTGGCAAGAGTGATGTAACCAATCACCGACCAATTACCTGCCTTCCAGTCATGTGGAAATTATCCTCCAGCATTCTGAGCAAAAAGATCACAGCCCATCTTCGGGCATCATCTCATCATCCTGATGAGCAGAAAGGTTGCAAGCGTGGAACTTATAACACTAAAGATCAACGTTATGGAGGACAGTAAGCATCGCAGAACCAATTTGGTTGGACAGCTTGTATAAGTTTTTATTCGATGTTTTTTGGGGATTCACTATGCCTACAATGGATCATAGTTTGCGGCGATGTCACGTGTCAAGCCTGTTGCCAAGTGCTGCTATCAATGTCCACAGACCACAGTTGCATAATAGAACCGTAAGGATAAGTGTGCAGAAGAGGTTGGTGCGACTTTGGCGATAATTGGGGAATTGTGTGTTGCTCCCTACGTGGGAGCGTGCGCGATTCCTGCCGACTTGAATTCTCACTTTACTGACTCACGACTGCCATCCAGAGCACAATAGAAGTCCATCGAAACTTCCAATCGGAAAACCTGAAAGAAAACACCACTCCCAGCTAAAGGATAAGTATGGTAAACATAAACATGCTAGATAATAAAGTGTCTCTTTCAGGGTAGAGTGCCAAATGCTCGGTTAGCGGCATTGCTACGGTTTTCGATGTCACTTTAAGATCCCAAGAGACTGCCGAGTAGTTTCCTCTTTATTCATGGCTCATCATCCTGGGAAGGTGTTACAAATTGAGTTTTTGTTAGATTTAATCTTAGGTCATCCTGGGCAAAAATTGGCTCACATTTCGCTGCAGCGGCCACCACAGCCTCACGATCAGTGTCATGTATTGTGGTGTCATCTGCATACTGTGAGAAATGAGTAGGTAGGCATGAAGAGGAAGTGCAGGCTGCTCTCACCTGCCTCATCGCAACTTCTGCGTAGACAATGAACATGGCATGAGACATCGGGTCTCCCTGACCTACTCCGATATTGGTCGAGAAGGGAGCTCTGAGCTGCCCAGCAATCTTCACCCTAGCTGTCGTGTCGGAGACTAGCAATTTAATCATTGAGGTGAGTGCACCCGAAGCGGACATTTGATCGAGCGCCTTGCTACGGTTCACTGTGTCGAATGCACCGCTGAAATCGAGTAATGCTGCCGAATACTTCCAGCAAAGTAGCAAAGCTCTTTGACACAGAGACCGCACACAGATAATCCCAATAGCCGTTGAGCGACCTGGTCTGAAACCAGCTTGTGACTCGTCCACAAATTGCTGAATATTGTTGCTAATTCTCTTTGTGATTATGGTTGTAAGGACTTTCCGAACCACTGACAATAGCATTACTGGTCTGTTACTCTTCGGGGCTCCTTTCGGTTTGCCATTTTTGTATATTGGCACAATAATTCCAGTAGCCATGTCTGCTGGGCAGTGCTGTAATTGGCAAATTAGATTGAAAAATGAGGACACCCAACCAGCTAGAATATCAGAACCTGCATGCAACATCTCACTGCTATTGCCATTCTGACCGACTGCTCCACCTACGTTTTGCTTCTGTATCGCTGCACGAACGTCTTCTGTTGAGAAAGGCTCATCATCCCCGACACCAGTCGCCGGCTGATGAACCGGTTTCCACGGCACTGTAGAAAGTTGATGAATAATAGTCAGTAAATAGTCACTAAATAGTCACTAAACTTCTGCAGGTTCCAACCAATGTCTGGGATGATCCCTCCATCCATGCTCCCGGCGAGCTGTTGACACCGTGACAAGAAAAGTATTGGCCTTCAAGTCAGCCTCCACAGTGGCTGTGGAGGCTCAGGCTTTGAGCTGCCTGGCGATGCGGACTTATCCATGATAGGCAGGTAAATACTCGTCAGAATAGCGTGATGCGCTTCCAATATCCCGCAGTATTCTTATCTGTACATGCAAGCAACAATACCCGACCAAACATAACCAGAAAAAAACATGAAATACTTGAAACGCTCATCAAAGCCTATTTTTGCCCTTTGATCTCTATTGCTAGTTTGTAAAAAGCCTACTTATCCAGACAATACCGGGTCTTACAGCAGTGGTGTATTCTCCCAACAAAAATGGTTGAACACGCTGACTTTAACATGTATTACGGGATATGAGGTTCACGGTAATCCACAGGTGACGTGCACACAAGCTCCTTTCACTCCTAGTCAACTACCCGAATGCGGTAAGCTTTCTTGTGTGGTTTTGAGATTGCAAAACATTACAACAGTATCCCTGTGAGCTTGTTCCCAGCAACTGACTGATTTGGGTACATGTGTGTTAATTTCATTGTTTGAAAAATACGAAATACAATTGGACGTGCTTCGAATAGACCGCATCGCCATTCCATTTTGTAACCATGCGCCTCGGTGTGGATTGAGCTAAATCATACTCACTGATGAGACCTTAGTGGTCGAAACAGCGTTGAAAATCGGCTTTGCCCTGAGGAGTGTATATCCAGTTTAAACGGTACTTGTAGTGTGAACAATGAAGCAATTCCACCTCCTCCACATACGCTCTCCGGCCGACAATGACATCAGCAACATTACTACAAGTTCTATATACTGACAGATATAATTACCTCCAGGCAGCGTTGTTTGGATCACTACAGTCTGATCAGTGAAGGTTGAGAATAACGAATGGCTAGCATTAATTTGAAGTCACATATTTATACATAGAATGAAGTGAAGAATTGTGATCCTGCGCTTTGAGATACCAGATGGACGAAGTGCTTACACATGGAGAAAAGGTGCAAAATACTGCAGACATGATCGATACTTAAATAACCGATTCTAGCACTCTGAGATACAACCATGTAGAATACTGAAAAACGGGGCGACAGTTCAGACATTTGCGCTCCAACACCGCACTGCAAGTACGCAAGAGGCCCCTGGCCTGGGGCATTTGCTGCATGAATTCACTTACCACCATACAGAACTGTCATCGCATGGTCGGGCGAACATTCTGCTGTTGTCTCCATTTGTATAATTACGGTTCTCGTATGGTGTCACCCTATTAAGTATTAGTATGAACACTAGTATGTAAACTTGTAAAACCAAATACCTCTAGGGTATTATAGATTAGCAAATCTGGTTTTAGAGTTTTTTTTTTTTTTTTTTTACTAGAACGACGTAAACCCGTCATGTGTGAGCCATGAATAAGGGGAGTGGTGGCGTGGTTGTTGTTTCTTTATTTTACTTCACCATATGAAAAGGCAAGACTGCCTTCTCACCGGGGCTATTGGCCCACGGCTCTCACAGTATGATGAAAGGTTTAAAATTTGTATGAAGAAGAAAGGAACGGAAAAGAAGATGAAATGAAAGGAAAGAAAACAGTAGGTATTAATTTTATGAAGGGGGGGGGGTATGAAATGGGTATTATCATAGTTGATGAGAGAAGTATGATATCCAATATTCTTGTTCTATAGACTATTTAGTACGGGCATTTCATGAGAGTCATGCATGGGCAAGGCAGGATTTGGACTAGGATAGAGGACAAGAACATAATTGATGAGCATTTGTTCAGGCAGAATCTGTGAAGAAGACATAGTAGGCACAACATCGGAGAGCTAGTTGAGGAGGGAGATAAGGTCATAGCCAGACAGCAATGCTTGAAACGTGTGGCGTACGTCGCAAGCGCGAATATCAGCAGGGAGAGAGTTCCATGTGGTACTGCCAACAAAGGCGATAGAGCTACGGCCTGAGGGACCAGGTAGGAACGGCACTCTGAGCAGCTGGCTGACCTGACTACGCGTGACACAACTTCTTTCCGCATCCGTGGCAATGAGGGAGTAGTAGGATTGGAACAGTGAGCTGGCTCTGCCATGAAGGCAGCGGAAGACGAAGAGAAGCAGACGTTGCACGTACAGCTGGTGGAGCTGAGGCATTGATAGTCTGGCAAATAGGGGAGCAGTGGGGGTCCTTCTGGGGAGTTGGAAGATGGCATGGTCAGGGATGCTCTGCCGTCCTTGGGTCTCGGCTTCATCACAACCAGGCGTGCCAATAGAAGAGAGAGAAAGAGAGGGAGGGAGAGAGAGAGAGAGAGAGAGAGAGAGAGAGAGAGAGAGAGAGAGAGAGAGAGAGAGAGAGAGAGAGAGAGAGAGCGGAGAGAGAGAGAGAGAGAGAGAGAGAGAGAGTGACAGACAGACAGACAGAGAGAGAGTGACAGACAGACAGACAGACAGACAGACAGACAGACAGACAGAGACAGAGAGAGATAGAGAGAGAGACAGACAGACAGACAGACAGAGAGTGTGTAGGTGTTTAGGTCTGAGCAAGGTTTGCCCAGTCGAGCAAAGGGAATGTGCATTACACATGCGTGGCACGCTTCACTTGGAAATACACAGATATCCATGGAGATAAAGTGGTGCCTTTTCGTCATTCAGTTTTGAAAAACTGTTCCTTGATTAATTGGTAAACTTTCATGTCTCTGTCAGCTTTTAGCGAGGCAGCAATATTAAAACGAGGTCAGTGTTCATAAGCAAGTGAACTGTTTGCCTGAATCATGCAAGTTTCCATGACGAAAATCCCATGCACTGCATCACTGCTTCCCTCATTCCAGGCCACGAGTTCCCAAACTAACTCTGGGTCGCAGCACGGCTGGAAAAAAGCCCTTCTGCTTCCAAGCAGGACTTGAACCTGGTACCCTCTATTTCTCAATCATGGTCTTGGACCGCCCCACTATAGCTACCTGCTGAGGCGGGGAAAGCCTCCGTACTCAAACACAAGGATGTTGTGTATCCCACACCTTTCCCCCATCAAGCCCTACAGAACATCTGCGCTCTCCAGAGGGCCTCTCCATTGTTTGCAAAAGTGGCTGTAGTTCTGAGCACTGGTTTTGAATTGTACTGGGAAGTAGCATATAAACCAACCAAACAACCCACCAACTATTTTCTATATGTTGCCTCTGAACTGTGTTGCTGGTAGCCAAGATATGTACAAAACCAACTGTAACAAACGGAGCTTATAGGGAAGGTTCATTCAATAGCATAAACAATCAGCTGGAGGGAACGTGTGACAATGGCTACACACCCTCACCAGTGCTTAAGGCGACTTGCGACCGTTATGGCCAGGTGACTGTGGTGGGCAAATGCGGTAAGATATCCTGCGTGTTTCTGATTGAGATTGTATAGTGGTGACAATTGATGTGAGCCTTAATATTTAGTTTAACTTTTAGTAATGCAATAAATATAACTAAATGCGCACTCATATCACAACTATGGGGACGAATAATGTATTCCAGAACGTTTTCTTGTCACAATTATCAATGGAATTCGTAACTAAAGAGCCAAAGTCTGCTTTTTTCTATATAATTATTATATCACACAAGCAGTGACTTTCCGCGTTTTGTTCAGCGTGTGTTGGAGGTGTGAGCCCAGGCAAGTATGCCCGGTCGATTGGCCCAAACTAACTCTGCTTCCGGATAAGATCTGGGATTCTTTTCCAAATCGACAGCACATCCTTTCAGTGGCTGAAAACTCCAAGACATGACCGAGGAACTCCCAACGTGGCAGGCAAGTCTCGAGCCAAATCGGTACCTAGTTGCAGATGTAGTTTGGGTGCTAGTTTCTGAAAAGACCAAAAAATAGAGATTCACTGGCCAGAAAAAGTCACTTCAAATAGCTGTATGGTGTAGACCAGGCTGAATAGTGACGGTCAATTCGTCAGCCTTGCAAGCTGTTGAATGGTGCAATCCCGGCACAAGTTGCTATGGCTTCTGCCGCAGCATTGCTATCATCGCCTCCGGCGATGGGCATCAAAAGGTCAAAGGTGTGCGTGTGTGTGTGTGTGTGTGTGTGTGTATGTGTGTGTGTGTGTGTGTGTGTGTGTGTGTGTGTGTGAAAACTGCGAAGCAAGAGTCAACATAAACTATTCTCTTAGCATTCACACACACACACACACACACACACGCACGCACGCACGCACGCACACATAATTATATTATTGCATAAGTTTATATTTGAGACTCGGATGTTGAGCCATAAATAAATGTAGAAAGTAAAAGGGCATAAGGATACAAGTTAAGAGTAACTCTCCATCACTGTAACTTGATACTACATACAGTCGGAAAGTGCAATAACTAGGCACACAACTGACAAGAGTACTGAGACATTCGACGTCCTGACACCTAGCTTCAACACATCTCCGTAGCGCTAACCGACAGCCTTCCAACTTGGAAGGTTCAAGGTTACGGAAAGACCAAAGAGGGGAAGGCAAGCGCAACGAAAACTAGCAAAAGCTACAGTCCCAACGGAACAGAGAATGTCGATTGCTACTGGACGATGACGAGACCAGTACGAGATTTGACAAAGCGGTCTAACTACAATTCGAAGCAGCAAAGCAGCACACCACCCAACTTGGGTGGGTCATACATATCAAAGATAAGTAAAGAAAGGGGAGCTTTGCGAAAACGAATTGTACAAGCCGAAAGCCAAACTCCTACGGTACTCCTCATGCATGACAGAGTAATGGACTAGTTGACTACAAAACAAGTTGTTTCACACGACGTACGTTTCGCCGTATGGTTCGTGACGGCTCATCAGGTGTGCAATTTGAAACTCGGATGTTGATCCATAAATAAATGTAGAAAGTAAAAGGACATGAATACGAGTTAAGAGTAACTCTCCATCACTGTAACTGGATACTATATACAGTCAGAACCTTGAACCTTCCAAGTTGGAAGGCTGTCGGTTATCGCTACGGAGATGTGTTGAAGCTAGGTGTCAGGACGTCGAATGTCTCAGTACTCTGTCAGTTTTGTGCCTAGTTATTGCACTTTCTGACTGTATATAGTATCCAGTTACAGTGATGGAGAGTTACCATTATGTCCTTTTACTTTCTACATTTATATAATTGGTGAAACCATTCTTTTTGACCTTTGTAATTATATTATTATACCACACCGTTTTTTATCTATGTTTCGCGTCCCCGCGCGCATGTATTTCAAAGACGGAGTTTAAAAAAAAGAACAATTTTTTTTGAAAATGCAATACAAATTTAATGCAAACCCGGAAAAACCGGAAAATGTAACTCAGCTGGGTCAGCTCACACACGTGTACATGTAGATGTGTGAGCAATAAGCTGGGCCGCAAGTCACACAATCATCATTGCCGCCTGTGTTTGGGACACATGCATGGCAGAGTGGACAGGCGCGGCGGAAGCAATTGTTGATTGGTCCGGCCAAGTTTTTTCGTCAGCACAGCACTTGCGCACGTGTGACACAACACAACGTCTCTTTGCTCATCGTAGGTCAACGAAGACCATGTCTTGAAATATGACGCCTGACAAGAGCGCTTCACCACTGTCTTTTTCCCAAATTCCCGCCAAGGAAACGCGAAGGAAGTGGTTGGGTGGACTGGCACTTCTGGCACAGATATTTCGCTGGAAGAAGCAATAGCTGCTAAGCATGCACTGCAGCTAAGCTGACCAGACAGCGAGAAAAATTTGAAAAACTACTTCGTTCAGTAAAAGAATCTGAAGCACTCGACGAAAAACCCTCAAGACTACAAATATACCTAAGGCCACCCCCCCCCCCCCCCCTAAGGCCACGCCATTTTTTTTCTATATCACATTGTGTTCATTCCTCCGGGGATAGCATCCGTGACAGCCCATGTCCCTAAGGCCACGCCATTTTTTTCTATATCATATTGTGTTCATTCCTCCGGGGATAGCATCCGTGACAGCCCATGTCGAAAGTTGAGATTCAAGTAGTGCCGGAGTACGATTTTTCGTGCCAAAATCAGTAGAGGCGCCAAGGATTTTTATACGTCGTTTTCGAACAGTGAAATGTTCCGGAGTACGGAACTTATGTGTTTGCCGTCATTGCCTAGGTTACGATCGCAAACACGTCACATTCTGGCGCTATGCCTTTTTATTTTGAAAATTTGTACCGAAATCAAAACTTCCCGCTGAAAATCGATGTTTCTCGTACCAAATTTGTGCGCGAAAAATCTTTCTGCACCCGATAACTACTGTATCAGCATGTGAAGTGCAGCTAGTTCTGCGGACAACTGTGGCTTCAAGAATAGTCCAATCAGCGTTGAAAATCGGCAAAATTACCATACGAAACATGGTTCGTATGAAAGTCAGTCCACACGGATTCTCCGTGCCGAAAAATCGTATGGAGCACTCCTGGAAACATTCGTACCACCCATACGGATTTTGGCACAGAAAATCGTATCCCGGAACCTCTCTAATATAATTATTAAAAACAGCGTAGAGCCCAATATACTGCCCTGGGCTGCACCTGCAGAGATTGTGTAGAGAGAAGAAATCTACTAGCCGACTAAGCACTGGAGTGAACGGCCATCGCTAGCTATGAAGAGTGCCAGTAATTCCGGACCTTGTAGAGGAGGCTCACGTGGAACACCCGGCCAACGCCCACGGCTATATCAACTGCGAGAATTCGTGCCGCACTGCTGGCTTGGCCAACGATGCCCACCCAGGCTTTATGAAGTGCCTGTAGTGCGTCTGCCGTACCAAGACCCTTACGAACCCAAACTGGTGGGGAGTGAGGAGCTGCTGGCGTTTGAGAGGGGTCATCATTTTGACGATTGACTATAGTTGCCATGACTTTCCATGAAACATTATGCATGAGGGCCTGCTCTAGACATTCAACACAGCCCGGTCAGAGTGTACCTGGCGCATGCAGGCCAGCCGGGTCAAGCCGGGTCAGATCATCCGGCAGAAAAACAACCAAAAAGCCTGCTCAAAACGCTGGAAAACAGAAAGGCGAATTTATTATCGTAAATCGGAAATTTTAGAGAACAAGGCGAACTATCAAAGTCCGCATCGCGACCAAATCCACCGCCGCTCGTCTTCCTATCGGAAATGCGTCTTGCACAAAGCGCATGACATGGATAGACTGGCATGGTCGTAGTCCAGCCAGGGTCGACCTTTCTTCCAAGAGTCTTGGAAAGCGTGAGTTCTTTTTCTCTTCGCTGCGGGCTCCATCGTCCAAATCACCAGTCGGCTGAAAACTTGCAACTGTGTCAAAAGCTATAGCCAAAGTTACGCTTTTGACTGCGTGCCCCATCGACTTTGAATGTCCTGACTTCCTGCTCGCCGCTAGCTGGCCAGATCGCGCTCGAACCAGTTGACCCCAGTTGACCCCAGTTCACCCCAGTTGACCCTAGCTGAGTTTCTGTCGCTTGTAGACTGTAGTGTGTAGATCTACGGTTGCGCTAGATTTGCAACAGATGGGGTCCGCGAGTCGCAAAATACCGGTATTTTAGGAATCCATTGTCAGCTTGAGACATTTTTCAGCCGGGTCAGAATGGACCTGGTGTTTTCTGCTGAGCCAGGTCGTGCAGTTCCCCAGCCGGGCGCATGACCCGGCTGACCCGGCCCTCCAGCAGGCCCTGCATCCGTGCTTTTATAAGAACGAAACGGCGTTTTTAGTGACTTTTTCCATACAAATCCCTATCTAGTAGGGCGCAGTCACCCAGTTTCGGTGGAAGGGCGCGAGTTTGATTGGGAGTAAAGGAGGAAAGGAGCGTCTCAGCTTCCTCGGACCAAGACCATTCGACTCAGCACCCCGAAGACTACAACTGGTGAAAATTTGATTTTAGGGTATACTTCCCCTTTAACAATGTTGCCAGGGATTCACAGAGCATGTTCAGCACTTGGAAACCACTGAGTTTGTTTTGTGGTCATCTGGTCTGGCTTTCTGTGGGCGAGGATTTGGTGGATTTGGCTATCTAGCACAGGAGCAAGCTTCGTTTTTTGTTTGTGTGTGTGTGTGTGTGTGTGTGTGTGTGTGTGCGCGTGCGTGCATGCATGTGTGTGTGTGCACGCGTGCATGCGTGTGAGTGCATGTGTCTGTGTGTGTGTGTGTGTGTGTGTGTGTGCATATGTGTGTGTGTGTGTGTGTGTGTGCATATGCGTGTGTCTGTTTGTGTTTTTTTCTGGTGGCAGTGAGAGATGCGACGTGGTTCGGGCGAAGGTCAGGCTAACGCCGATGCCAACGCGAAAGGGCTGATGATGATGATGACGATGTGAATGATGTGAAAGATTAAGATGATATCTAGTAGATATTGCAACATACTCTGCAGGTTGTATCTGCTGCTCGCTATGCTTAGTGTCCCGTCTGCTTACCTCAACCAACCCACAGTAACCAGGGTCACTGTATAGTGATGGGTGATAGCAACAGAACCGTAGAATACCACCCTATCTCACCTGCCTAGACTGCATTTGTTAGAAGGCGTTTCTTCGTTTTCTTCATATTCTTTTCTCCTTTTCGTTCACTCTTCCCTTCTCTGATCTCATAGCGCTGGTAATACATATATATAATCAACCTTTGATCAAGAGATTATTCAAACCAATCTGCAACCTCAAAGTCTGCTGAGAGTGATATCATGCCGGTGTGACGGAATATAGGTATCACCATGCAACAGGGATTTGTTGAATTATTTTTGCCGCTAAAATCACAGTCCAGCCTCAACAAGCAGCCAAATATGGTGTCCAAGTGACGACATGAGAACAGGTATCTACTTAAAAACTACGGTGTCACCTGAAATGTCTCCACAGCCTCCTGCCCACACATACACCCTGCCCACACCAGCCATGTCATGCATGTACTCTGTGCTAACACCACACTGCTAGCTCTGTCATTACCTCTACAGCCTCCAGCCCACAACGTCCACACACCTTGCGTACAACCTCCTGCCCACACCAGCCACATATTCTGCGCTGATGTTGCACTGCTAACCCTGCCATTGCCTCTACAGCTCCCCTGCCTTCAACAACCACACACTCTGCACACACACACAGTCTCCTGCCTAGAATACTGACACCGCTAGCCCTGAAACCTATGCACCGCATTCACAAACAGCTTTTCACACACCCATACAAAGCACGCCCTCTCCTGGCACATAGAGCAGCGAGCGGCATGGCCAGCACTGTCCTGAGGTTGCCTGATTATGGAAAAAGCATGAAACTCTAAGGAAGCATGTCGGAGAAAACCAGAAAAGCTGGGCGGGGCCATCTCTCCCATTTCGCTCAAATTTTGCAAGTAGGTTTCCTTTGGGGTCTACAACAACCATGCGAAAGGGCTTGTGGCATAACTTACGGACACCTTGGAACTGGGGACCACCTCGAAATGGGCCCAAAATACGACTGAATTTTGGATCCAAAAACGAGCGCTGGTACAGCGTACACTAGCTAAGAACAAACCATCACCATGCCAACATTACCTCACCTGAGTAGTCTTCACATCACCATGCCAACATTACCTCACCTGAGTAGTCTTCACATCACCATGCCAACATTACCTCACCTGAGTAGTCTTCACATCACCATGCCAACATTACCTCACCTGAGTAGTCTTCACATCACCATGCCAACATTACCTCACCTGAGTAGTCTTCACATCACCATGCCAACATTACCTCACCTGAGTAGTCTTCACATCACCATGCCAACATTACCTCACCTGAGTAGTCTTCACATCACCATGCCAACATGACCTCACCTGAGTAGTCTTCACATCACCACCACATAGAGCCATGGCTACATCGAGGAAAGCAATGGCCATCATCTCCAAATATCACTCAATTGCATCGCTAAAATAGCCAAATTTAAAGGGCCATGGCGTGAACCATTTACGGGGTCTATTTCCCTGAACCATGCACTGCATGATAGTGGCCATGTCTCCACCCAGACCATGTCTCCACCCAGCCATGTCTCCACCCAGGCCATGTCTCCACCCAGGCCATGTACATGTCTCGTAAAAAGTGTCCCACGCTTTCTGGAAATAAACAAATTTCAATATTTTCACTTCACCACATTGCAGCATTTCCAATTTCCTACCCGACGACAGCAAGCGCCTCCTCAAGCGCCAAAACAAGGTGCCGCTCCAGACGCCACCACGCCAAACACTGCAGCGTGGTCACCTCTACCAAGTCTGACAAGAAATATGAACTGACAACCCTTGTCACTCGGAACAACAAGCACTTCCCTCCCTGGCAGGAAAGCTCTGATCTGAAGTGCAAAACATATTGAACAAACCTCGATTTGATCAATCGAAGATGGCATATTTGCGTCCTGAAACTGGCCGTGCCCGACCACTGCGTGACATAGCAGGTCGACAGATTTCATCGAGTTGATCGACAATCAAGATCAGAATCAAAATCTGGATGATCAGGTTGATCAGCAACATGATTTTTACGATGCTATGATTTATCGCTCTCTTAAGCGGGATTCACAGAAGCTTTTTTGCGATGCGACACGCGATGCGACAGACGCGAAACCGGGAAAACCCCAAATCGCAGCCATGTCGCACCCCACGCAACTGCCGCAACTGGGCCATCAAAGGCAATCGCAGAATTAAGCGATTTGGCGTACGATTTTGACCTTTTTGTACAGCAAAGTTGTACAAAGGTTCAAGAGTTGTGTTGATTCTTCACAAAATGTGTTATTTTGCCCGTACGAGAGGCTCAAGGCTTGTCCAAAAAAAAAAAGAGTTGCCTATAAATTTGTACAAGTTGTATCAAACCGCGCAAATATCATGGTGACGTAGCCCAATCAGCAAGATGTTGTCGCATCACTGACTTCTTCGCATCGCACGCGTCCGTCGCAGATCGCGTCGCATCGCGTGTCGCATCGCAAAAAAGCTTCTGTGAATCCCGCTTCAGGCTGCGTTTACACGGAGACGAAACGAAACGGAACGAAACGGAACGAAAACGGGCTGGCCTCGAATCGTTTTCAAACCGTTTACACGAGAATGGCAAATCGTTTTGAACCGTTTACACGAAAACGGAAAACTGGCGATCAGGCTGGAGTTAGCACGTGCTGGCTTGGCGCAAGGGCGGGAAGTAACAACTTAGTTGGAGTTGATACGTGCTGGTGGTCGCAAAGGTCAGGTATTTCCCGCAAAATATAGTCCCGTGCTGAATGGTTTCCATGACCGTGCTCCGTTTCCAATCGTTTTCACTGTTTTCAATGTTTACACGAGAACGAAAACGTTTTGAAAACGTTTCAAAACATTTTTGAAGTGCGTTTCCATTTCGTTCCTTTTTAGGTATCGTTTTCGGGCGTTGTCGTGTAAACGATAGTAGTAAACGCAACGATTTCGTTCCGTTTAGGTCGTACTTCGTTGTCGTGTAAACGCAAATCGTTTTCAATCGTTGTCGTGTAAACGCAGCCTTAGTATTGACTCCCATTGATTTTCGCTATACCTAAGCAGTCAAATATCCCTGCATGTTTCACTCCTTAGGGCTATATTGACTACTTATATTTGACTGCTTTTTGGTGGCGCAGTTGAACGGTGCCTAGAACATGGCCGCTGTACTTTGCCGGGTTGTGCAACAATCGTAGATTCCTCTAGGACCCGCAGGGTTCGACGTGGAACCGGGGTTACACGAGGAGTGAAGGCGAAGAATGTGACAGTGTGTTTGGTCTCAAATCGCTCTAGTGTTCCATTAATTCCCAGCGGTTTAAAGATAAAAATGCAAATGCACGCCTTGATTGGACCTAGCACTTCTTGCTTTCTTTGGCCTCTTCTGAGCGACCAAAATGATAGTGCAATCAAGAGTAATGACAGTGAGGGGTGGGTGACACCAGCACAACGGGCGGGAACACACTGTCACATTCTTCGCCTTCACTCCTCGTGTAACCTCGATTCCACATCGGACCCTGCGGGTCCTAGCGGAATCTACGATTATACTTGGGAGATTCAGCTTCGAATGTGACAGTGTGACTTTTAAAGTGATCCACCACCTCAACCAAGGGCGTAGTCAAGCGTTATGCGCGAAGGAGAATCGCGGATGTGGAGTGAAGGAACTGGCATCTCGCAGAGTGCCTGACACACAGTAGAAACGTAACAGGACACACTATATGTACATGTGCCCTTCGAGTCGGAGAAATGAAGGGAGAAAAGGATGACAGTCAATTAACAATGGCTAGCACAGGACACACAACACAATACTGCGACACCATGGCAAGGCTGTGTCGAAATACTGAATGTATTCCTTGAGACAGGAATGTGGACAAAGAAGTTTGTCCCTTGCAAACCAAGGAACCAGGAAGTCTTAGATCTGGAACCCTAGACATTTTTCTTGCTTGCGGAGGCAAGGTCGAACACAGCATGTACCTTGGGAGTTGATGGCTGTTGAATACGGACTGACTGCGAAGCTCCGAGATGAACGAGGATTGGGGTCCCCAAGGCTGCAGAACCTCCAGAACATTGACGACACTCCATGTGCTGGCAGGCCAGCAGTAATAGACATCGGGCATCAAATGGGTGGTCGCTACATCAGCATGACCAATGCTCCAAGAGGCCCAGGACACGTAGCTGGAGTGTCAACAAGAGAGTAGAAAGAAGCCTTGGTACCTGGTCTATACTGCCTCCCATCAAATACCTATGTCGTAAGGTATTTGATGATTCCTGGTTTAGTGTTATTTGTTGTGCACGTTTCTTTACGCAGTACATGCAGTTACAGGTGCTAGAAGCTGTCTATATTCGTACACGTCACCCTGTTCTGTGTACTGAAGTTTTTTTAAAGTTTTTTTTACTAAGTACAGTGTACACAACCTACTCGGCAGAAGGGGAGAAGACAACAGAGTATACAATAACAAAACAGCAGGGAGAATATCTTTGATATTTTTGACCCACCCAAGTTGGGTGGTGTGCTGCTTTGCTGCTTCGAATTGTAGTTAGACCGCTTTGTCAAATCGCCTACTGGTCTCGTCATCGTCCAGTGACAATCGACATTCTTTGTTCCGTTGGGCAAAATTTTAACATATAGATTGAGAAGAGGAAGGGTTATATCAAATGCATGCTTTAGAAATCAGCCATACCATTCTTTACTATGTTATAGAAACTCTGGAAGGAATGCCTGTTTTGATTTCCACTATAAATAAAGTATACAACAACAAATGAAACCAGCGGGTTCGAAGCAGGTGTTGGCAAAGATGGTACGGACACGAGACACAAAGCAATGACTATTTTGAGTGGTTCTAATGTCAGTGGGGAGAGAATTCCAGGTGGCAGCGGTAACAAAGAGGAAGGTGGCACGCGAGTAGCTGTTTGCCCTGGCAGGCGGTACAAGTTGGAGAGGGCGCCGCGCGCTGGTGGAGAGACTATAGCCCAGCTCCATAAGGGCAGTGGTCTGGTGGTGGACCAGGTGATGGAGCTCCCGGAGGCACTGGATGTGTCGCCGCCATGCCAGGCTGGGCCATTGCAGGTGCGCGAACAGAGATGCCTTCGGTTCAGTAGCGGAGGGAAACACACCGTACTGTCTCAAGACGACTCGTGCCAATCTGGCCTGCAGACGCTTAAGCACCGCTGCTTGGGATGCGGACAGTTGGAACTGCCACAGTGGCGAGGCGTATTCAATGGTGGGTCGGACAAAACCAGTATAAAGCCGGTTTGTAACTTCCGGCGTTAGGCGGCTCGACATGTGGGCAAGTAGTACCACGCGTTGGCGAAATTTGGTGGTGATTGTTTCGATGTGGCACTGGAAGTTGAGGTGGCTATCAATTTGCGCGCCAAGATGTCGGTGCGTGTCGACCGCGCGCACTTCTTCCTGGTTCATTCGCAGGTGCCCGATGTTTGGAGGGTTCGGTCTGTTGGTACGTAGGGAGAACGTCATTTGGAAGGACTTCGTGGGGTTAAAGCGTCCACCTCTGCTTGGGGGGGGGGGGGGGAGGAGCTTCAAGATGGAAATAGTTCTGAACTGTTAGAGGGAGTCTGTGGCCCAAAGCCACTGGCTTCGGCGAAGATGGTAGTGGACGTTCGCTTTGAAGGATTGTAGGCCCTTAGGAGATGGTGGTTTGGTGAAGAGGGAGTATGGCAGCGCGTTCCAGGTGTTGATGATGTTGTATGGAAAGGAGCGTCTTAGGTAGTTGGGAGCGCCTGGAGGGAGAACATTTTCCAGTTGGAAGGGGTGTGAAGCAGACTGTTGGCATTGTCTCCGGGTTACAGGTGCGGCATGGTGGACAAGGAGAGGAGGGACCATGGATCTCAGCAGAGGAGGACCCGGTTGGCCCAGTAGCTTGTAGACGAAAGTCAGCGCTGCCACTGTCCGTCGGGCCTCGAGGCTCTGTAGCAAGATGTTGGGTCCCAGGATGTGGAAGGCACGCCTCTGCACTCGGTTAAGGTGATCAAGGTTGGTGGGAGCTGCTACCATCCAGACAAGGGGAGCGTACTCGAGCAGGGGCCGGACGAAGCCGTGAAACAAGGCCAGCATGCCACGACAGTCCAGAACGCGAGCAGCTCTACGTAGGAGGCCAATACGTGAATTTGCCCTGGCAGCAACTCACCGGAGATGCATGGAAAAGGATAGCTTGGAGTCAACCATAACTCCGAGGAGCTTGAGGTGTGGCTGTTGTGGGATGACCTCCCAGTGATGGAGAGTTACTCTTAACTCGTATCCATAATGTCTTTTCCTTTCAAAGCTCAGGGTCTAACTTACGTATGTACAAAGCTTCCAACACGGCAAGATGTAACAAAGACCTACCACGCGACAAAACAGAGAATACATCATCGGAATACCACTCACGACAACTAGCACTGCCCGACAGGTGACACTTGATTGCCGAGGTACCGTTTCCCTGACCCGACGACTTGGCCGTTGTCACCTCTGATCCTGCCGCTTGCGAATCTCTCCCATTACGCCCTGCGTCCCTGCAATTCCGATTGCCTCGGTCGAGATCAAGTGTCACCTGTCGGGCAGTGCTAGTTGTCGCGAGTGGTATTCCGATGATGTATCCTCTCTTTTGTCGCGTGGTAGGTCTTTGTTACATCTTGCCGTGTTGGAAGCTTTGTACATACGTAAGTTAGACCCTGAGCTTTGTGTTCAGAAGGAGAATGTGTTTTCTTTGCAGTTGTTTGGTACTGTTCGTCGTGAAGGTGCGAAATAGATCCCTTGATCTCTTGATATTTCTCTTTTTTTCTTGTCACTACATTTTTGTCACTTATTGGATTTGCATGCTGTTTTCTTGATTCTTCACATCTATTTTTTCGTGTCACTTCTACACATAATTGGAGTGATATATTTCTGAACTTCTTTTCCTTATAGTTGTAGTCTTTTAGCTTATTTCCATCATTCCCTGTAGTATTTTGACAAGAAGGGAACGAAAGCGTTCAATACTTTGACACATGTCCTAATAGGCTGGTGGTGACTCTTGCGTAGATGCATGCGTAGATAATACATTTTTTGTAATAATAATAATCTCTATCCCTCAAACCAGTTAAAATAATAATATATGATTTTGAATAACATAAAAAATCCTTAAAAACTCCATGAACTCGTTGTTGTCTGGCCATGTCGGCATCTATTATACTCCTAATTGCACTAATAAAATTGCTTTCTCCACGCCGACTCTTTAAATAATAATAATAATAATAATAATTCAAAGGATCTGTCGGGGAAGTGAACTGCCTGAAAAGAGAAAAAACGCCAGACCCACCAGGACGATTTGAATTTGAAGTTCTCCCAATCCTTTCCAAATAATAATAATAATAATATTTAAAAAGCTTACGTGGAGATAAAAATGTAATCAACGCAATAAATAGAGTAAGCTGCGCACTCAGTACAAACACCATTAGCAAAACTCGTTTTCATGTAAATAAAGAAGAATAATATTACTTGCATTGTGCGTATATATATTGAGTTTAGAGCGTTTGGAGAGCGAGTGACGCCGCTCGGTCATGGCCGTCAGCTTCGGCTGGCCCATGGGTAATGTCTTCTTCGCCAGGAAAAAGGCAAGCTTGCGGAAGTATTTTGAGTAGCGGAGCGAAAGGCGAGGGCTTGTTTCGCATTGGTACGTTCAACGTTCGTGGACTAACTTCAAATTCCAAAAAATCAACTTATTTCAGACCTCAATAAATACAGAGTTGGACTCTGCTGTCTTCAGGAGACTAAAATCTCCGAAGGATACGATGGAAATATTGACAACTACCGTCTACTGTGTCTCTCGTCGTCGTGTCGACATTATGGACTCGGATTCGTGGTGGAAAAGCAGTTACTGCACAAAATATATAGATATTGGCAGGTGTCGGACCGTATCGCCGTGCTACAGTTATGGCTCTCCGGGAGAACGCTGTGCTCATTTGTAAATGTCTACGCCCCGACGTCAGCACGCATTGCAGCAGACCATTCATGCGTAGACGAATTCTACAACAGCTTGCTGGACACAATTCAAAAACTAAGGTCTTCATCCCTGCTGTTCCTGATGGGAGACTTCAACGCGAAACTTGGGAAACGACCACCCAGTGACTGCTACTCCATATCCTATGCTGGTTCACACTCAAGGGGCCATCGCAACTACAGCGGCCAGACTTTGGCTGATTTCGCGTCCAGCAATTACCTATTTGCCTGTCACACGGCGTTTCAGCACGGTGCAGAACATATCACCACATGGACAGGCTGGCGCCACAACCCTAGTGGAGGTCCACCTTTACCCATTTACAACCAAATAGATTATATCCTTTGCCGTCACAGTGAAAGGTTTGTGGTGACGAATGCCAGATCATACCCTGGGACAAGCTTAGAAAGCGATCACCGTCTTGTGCTGGCAAACCTCAACGTGACAAAGCTGTACAAGAAGCTCAGGAAGCCCCACGTATCCATATCCAGCAACACAAAATTCAATATATCGGAATTTAGTGACCTGTCCAAGAAAGCAAAGTACAGAGAGGCTATCAACGAACATCTACAGGACCTCGGCAGAGAGCAGGAAGGTGTAAGTGCGGAGCAACATCTGCAGTATATTGTGAACGCTATGAGTGAGGCAGCAAACACATCAGTGGGCCGCGTCCCTAAAACAAACAAGACGCATAGAAATGGCTTCAGCGAGGAAATTGAAAAGCTGGCAGCAGAGAAACGCAAATTGCGTCTCGACATGACGGTGTGTAGAGATGGAACGAAGGTAAAAGAAATGAAAACGCGACGCAACAGGCTGGCACAGCAAATTCGCCGGGAATGCCTCAAGTTAGCATCGACTCGACTGGACGAACGTGTAGCTGAAATAGACCAAATGAAAGACGACGCGAAAATGTTCAAAGCAACACGACTACTGCGCCGACAGCAGCAGTCACCAGTTGTGGTGGAGGACTCTGATGGCAAACTCATTGCACAACCTAGTGAATCAGTCGAAGCATTTTAATGCAAAAGGCAACACTTCCGTGCTATATTCTGTGATCCTGCTCTGGAGTCATCTAGGCTCTTACGGACAGAGGAAGACCTTAAAAACCCTATAAAGCAGACAGAGGTACATGCCGCAGCTAAGCGCTTGAATAATGGTCGAGCTTCGGGACCAGATGGGATACCTGCTGAACTTATCAAGTATGGAACACCAGCACTGTTCTCAAACATTGCCACTACATTCAACAATTATGCCAGAGACAAATCACTCAAGCTAGGCGATGGGCTACTGATCCCGATACCAAAGCCGGGAAAGAAAAGAGGTCCTCCTGGAAATGTAAGGCCAGTTACCCTGTTGAACACCCTACGTAAACTTCTTTCATTGGTCATCCTGACGCGGATCAAGCCAGCTATCAACGGGTACTTGTCACTGAACCAGAGCGGGTTCCGGTCAGGGAGAAGCACTGGAGACGTGGTATACAGCTATCGGTGGTTATCAGCAAGATGCCAACGGGTTGCGTCGGAGATCTCAACCTTAGGCATTGATTTGTCAAAGGCATTTACCACTATATCAAGGGTCAGGCTGATCGATATACTGTCATCAGTCATTGATCATAATGAGCTACACATCATCCGATGCCTTCTGACAGACACCACAATAAAAGTAAAGCTGAATAACATTCTCAGCCAACCATTAGTCACACATAATGGAACCCCACAAGGTGATTCTCCATCGCCGGTCCTGTTTACTGTCTACCTCGAGGCTGCATTGAGGTTGATTCGAGAGCGACTCTCACCGCGACCAGCATTGGATATTCAGCTTCAATTGCCTAATTAAACAGCGTATGCGGATGACGTAGACTTCATCAGCACCAGCCTACAATATTTGCACGACAATCAACCCATACTATCATCCTCGTTAGCGGAATACAATTTAAAAAATGAATGAAGCCAAAACCGAATATACTACAATTAAAAGAGAAAAGGACAGAGTAGACGAGCGATGGCGGAACACGGTCAAAACTAGGATCGATGCTTGGAGTGGAGGAAGATATCAGTCGGAGAAAACGTCTAGCAACATGTGCCTTGCATCAGCTGTGGGTGATATGGCTGAGAGGTAACCATGCCCTTGAACCCCTTCGAATCAGGTTATACAGCAGGTTTTTTCTTCCAATACTTCTTTATAACTGCGGAACATGGAGCCTGACAGAGACTCAAGAAAAGAAACTTGACTCGTTCCACCGCCAGCAGTTACGAGCAGTCATAGGGGTCAAATATCCCCGTATAATACGCAATGAAGCACTGTACAAGCGCACTGGCTCCAAGCCACTCAGCAGAATCATCCAGTCTGCTAGGTGGAGAATGCTTGGCCACATGCTTCGACTAAACACCTCATCCCCGGTCCAGCAGGCTATGTCAGCATACTTTCAGGCAGGAAGCTCAGGGTTCCGAGGCCGCCCGAGAACAACCCTCCCGCGAACTATCAACAACGACCTGAAAAATTCCAGATCCACAAACTCCCTCACATCACACGAGGATCTAGTTGTACTGAGGCAGCTCGCCTAGGATCGTCGAAAGTGGAAGGAACTAATGTGTGCTGTGTGTAGTGGCTGAAGTTATACAATTACACTAGATACTCTTAACAATAATATCGGATACAATTACACTAGATACTCTAGATACTCTAACAATTTTATCACTAATTATGATAATAATTACCACATCAAATGCTGCAGAGACCTATCCAGAATCGGCAATATGCTGGCCCTGGTCTGGAGATCTGCAACTGCAATCGGTTTCTACTTTGCAATATTAACGGATTAGTCCCCTTTGTCGATTGATGGATCAATCGGAACCAACGCATTCGTCAGTCCGATTAGTAACTTCGGCTCTGCTCTGTTTTGTTTTGAACTGCATACGTATGTTTAACTCATTGTATTTCTTTGTATTCTGTATCTCGTTAGCGTTATCTTTTCCTCTAGCCCTCTCGCTTAGGATGAGCTTTCTTTTTTTATGGCAGCTTAAGCGAAGGCTATATACCTGCTTCATGCAGGTTGATGCCAACGCGAACAAGCAAATTAATAATAATAATAACTAGAGCTAATGTTCATTTGCCAGTAATCCTCTGATGAGATGGCGACGAAAACGTTTAGGAACAAGCTTCTTTATTTACATGAAAACGAGTTTTGCTAATGGTGTTTGTACTGAGTGCGCAGCTTACTCTATTTATTGCGTTGAATAATAATGTAAATAATCGACGCGGAGAAAACAATTTTATAATAGCTATAAAGAGAACAAATTCTGCTGTCACCGCCACACTACAACAAAGTCATGAAGGTTTACCAAAATCGATTTTCTTGTCACAATCATCAGTGGAAATTAGTTCCTCACCCCTGTTGCACTTAGCTCTCACTTTACTTCTATTGTCTCACCTTCCCTCATTCTATTTTTAGCACTTTGTTTTGTTCTCGTAACACATTATTGAATGTATATAAATTATTGATTTAGCATGGTTATTCTTCAGTCACGGCTTTCCACTGATGATTGTGACAAGAAAATCGATTTTGGTAAACCTTCATGACTTTGTTGTAGTGTGGCGATGACAGCAGAATTTGTTCTCTTTATAGCTATTATTGAATAATAATATTAATAATATTATTGTACTGTCGACACAGCTCTGACGACGATATACTGGGCGAATGCCGCGGGGCCTCCCAGCGTGTCAGCGGCAGTGGGTGATGGGCAGATAACAAGGTAGCTTGCGGACAACATCGGTGGCATGAAGCCTAGTGACTGCCAAGCGTCTTGGCGCGACGGGCGAGCAGTACAGTGTCGTGCCCCAGGGGCTGCTGTGGCTGTCGACGTCGGCGAGTCGTGAGGTGCGTTCGCAGGCCTTCATGCCGGCACTCGGACAACTGCAATACTAGTACACAGACTCTCACTAGCTACATAGTACTCTGATTCTGGCACGTTATTTCTGCATTGAATAGTGATTGATTTTCCGCGCCAAATTTCCGATGCTGCATGCATGTCCAATGCGCGTCAACAGTACTTCACACTTTTCTTTTTCCCGCGTTATCACCTCAGCTATGCCAGTTTTGTATGTGGAAACCCCCTATATAATAGCAGTTTGGTCTATATTTTTAATCATTCAACATCTACCTTCACTGATAAGCTATGTATTAGCGAAACAGCTGTCTGAAGGAGTTTATCAATATCGTCTACGGAAGTGTCCTCGCAATGGTGATGGTTGTGTGCAGGAGGGTCTAGTCGGCTGAAGAGCGCAGTTTAATGGTGGAGGTGACTCAACATTTTCTTCAATGGCCGAGAGCTCTGTCGCACCCTGTAATAATGATACGTGCGCCGTTAGCGTCAGAGCAAGAAGAGGGACAAGACGAGTCAAGGGACAATCCGGAGGACGCAATACCATATGACCAACTGTTTGTTTCTACCAGCGTTATTGTACCGTCGACACAGCTCTGACGACGATATACTGGGCGAATGCCGCGGGGCCTCCCAGCGTGTCAGCGGCAGTGGGTGATGGGCAGATAACAAGGTAGCTTGCGGACAACATCGGTGGCATGAAGCCTAGTGACTGCCAAGCGTCTTGGCCCGACGGGCGAGCAGTACAGTGTCATGCCCCAGGGGCTGCTGTGGCTGTCGACGTCGGCGAGTCGTGAGGTGCGTCCGCAGGCCTTCATGCCGGCACTCGGACAACTGCAATACTAGTACACAGACTCTCACTAGCTACATAGTACTCTGATTCTGGCACGTTATTTCTGCATTGAATAGTGATTGATTTCCGCGCCGAATTTCCGACGCTGCATGCATGTCCAATGCGCGTCAACAGTACTTCACACTTTTCTTTTTCCCGCGTTATCACCTCAGCTATGCCAGTTTTGTATGTGGAAACCCCCTATATAATAGCAGTTCGATCTATAGTTTTAATCATTCAACATCTACCTTCACTGATGAGCTATGTATTAGCGAAACAGCAGTCTGAAGGAGTTTATCAATATCGTCTACGGAAGTGTCCTCGCAATGGTGATGGTTGTGTGCAGGAGGGTCTAGTGGGCTAAAGAGCGCAGTTTAATGGTGGAGGTGACTCAACAATAATAATAATATTAATAATAATAGCACCTTTCGCGTAGTAGAGCACTAAATAAAGAAATTCAGTGTTTTTCCCGCTTCTGTCTTGTGAGCATCATCAGCCAGGTGTAGTAGCTGCTGATACTGATTTCTCCTCGGGTTTCGAGCTGCACAGTTTCTTCCAGTCTGTCTTGTCTGCTGCTTGTTGTCGGCACCTGGAAAGGTCTTCCATGGTCTTCATTGGCACACTCAGCTTATTCAGCTGAGCGACCAGACTTGTGGCCAGTGTCAACCTTGGCCGTCCACGAGGTGCTTTGTTGCCTTGTCAAAATAGCCGCTCATGGCTACTTGCGGTGGCGTGTCCGCGTCCATCCGTAGCACATGACAGGTCATTCGTAGTCGCCTGCATGCAACTGTGTCTGATATAGGGTTGCTCTTGGTTCTGCGGTATAGGTCGTCGTTTGAGATTGTGTCTGGGTATCGTATTCCAAGTAGTGATCGCATTTGACGCCAGTGGAATGCGTCTGCCTTGGCCATTGCTGTTGACGATAATCCCCAGGTCTCGCAATTGTACAGGAATGTCGGCAGTACGATAGCGTTGTACAGGCGTAAGCGTGTCTTCTCCGCTACTTTATCTCTACGCAGCCACAGGGCGTACAGCTGGCCAAACACGCGAGAGGCAAGTTCCATCCTGCGCCGAACATCCTCTTCCTCCCCCATCAAGGAGCCAAGCTGCCTAGATGTCCGCCAGCTCTCGGATTCAGGTGACACACGGATCCACTCTGTTTTATCTGGATTTACTTTTAATGACCAATCGTGCAGTGTGTCTGCTATTACAGGCAGAGCATTCTCAAGCCACAGCCTGCAGGTTGAATAATAGGAGATGTCATCTGCATAGCCCGTCTCTGGTGGTAGACTTGCGTCGCTGGCAGA